TAATAATAATAATGACAAAATAATAACAATAAAAATAATAGCGGTGACGGTGGTTAATATCTAATCATTATCATAAGAAGAAAAATAAAGATGTGATGATGATAGGAATAATAATGATGATATGATAAAAATGATTACATTACTATGTTATAAGATTGTACTTCTGTATATATGTTTGTTTGCCATTGTAATGTAAATGTCTCCATGGGATCAATAAAATGTAATTTAGTTGTTTATTTATTTATGTATTTCCTGATGTATCTGTAATGAAATCAATGTTTGCAGTGTAGTTAAAGACCACAGTCGCCAGTTAGATCATGATAGCAGGTCACATACAAAGCTAAGTCGTTGCCTTTCAACTCAGCAACGAATCGATCATTTTTACAAAGGGAATAGGGCTTGTTAAAAGGGGGTGGGTTGTTTTTGCTACCTTTTGAAAAAAAAATTGTACCTTTTTGTTCGTGCTTTTGTGTATTTTCAGGGAGGATTGGGTATTTGTTGGTGGGTTGATTTTTTTAAAATTTACCTTTGCTTTGTCTTGGGGGGGTTCTTGTTTTTTCAGGGGGATGGAGTGGTTCCCTGTTAGTTTGCAGTTTTCTTTCTGGGTGATGGGATGTTACTGTAGGGTGGAAGGGGTGAGGCATGGAGTAGAGGAGAGGCGGGAGTTTACGAAAAGCGAGCACCGAACATCCGTGTCTACTTTTATACTTGAAAAGACAAATGCATCTGTTATTCCTGACTCTTTGCTCTCTTTAAAATGCCAGATACGATCTGACACAATTAGTCCATCGCTGAAAGTTGACATGATATGCCTTGCAGAAGTCTGAAGTTCGAATCCGAGTATGGTCAAATCACGGTTTTTTTCCCACCTCGTCCTTCCTGAAGTGTATCCTTTTCACCCGGCGTCCTCTGGGGAGATCAAGAGCCCCGCCTTCTGAATGATGTACATTATGTTGGAAAATCGATAAAGTAAAGCAAATACAACGGGCAGAATAAAAAGAATGAAACGGAAAGTGTAAGGACGGAAACAGATTGAAGGATTGCACTGAGGTCACACCCCGCCAATTGATACTTTCCATTCCCTGTTACAGTCGAAATCAACATCAGCGAGGTTCCCATCTGTTGTTCTTTTTGCCTCGAAAACCAGATCGAATGCGATCGAATGTACCGTGCGACATTTGAATGTTCTTTCAGATTGAACTGTGTTTTTTTATGTTTGGCCTTTCTTTGTGCTGCAAAGCAAGCATGATTTTCAATTTTTTGCGAAGAAAAGAATGAAGAATATTCCCCTCGGTGTATGCTTTCTCTAATGTGTGACGGACTGAGGTAACACTGAGTGCTCGTTCTTCGTATTGTGAGTTCATGTTACATCCGAAGGGAAAAGCTCCCCAAAGGAGCCGAATTAGTTCTGTCATTTGAGATTACTTCTCCAGATAATTTTTTCACACATTATTATAATCAGACTTTTTCTGTTACGACGGAACCCCTTCACTCCCGGCCAGCACCGCCCTTTTCGCTTTTTTCCTGCAACCCCCCCCCCCTCTCTCTCTCTCTCTCTCTCTCTATCTCTCTCTTTCGCTCTCTCTCTCTTTCTATCTCTATCTGTCTACTATCTATCTATCTATCTATCTATCTATCTATCTATCTATCTATCTATCCATCTATCTATCTATCTATCTATCTATCTATCTATCTATCTATCTATCTATCTAGCTATCAATCGACTTATCAATCGATCTTTCTCTGTATGTGTGTATGAGAGAGAGAGAGAGAGAGAGAGAGAGAGAGAGAGAGAGAGAGAGAGAGAGAGAGAGAGAGAGAGAGAGAGAGAGAGAGAGAGAAAGAGAGATTTTCGTATAAAATATTTTCACCCAATTGTCTCTTGGGTTATTGGAATGATAATCGAACATTTTTATCAGCTATATTTTTTTCTCTGTTGTTTTGCTTGATTTCATTAGCACCAGTCTGAATGCAGCTGATTTTCTTTCTCTCCCATCTGAAATGTGTTTGTATTTTGGATGAAACAACTAACGTCCATGATAACCACACGCTTCTTTATCTCTTGATTATACATTTTTCTAATATGACCTCTTACAAAGGGAGCACAAAGCGAGTTTGAGGCAAACAAAAATGCCATAAGGCATCCTAAGGGATACAACCACGCTATTGATGGAACAATAGGCCTTCACACTTGCGTTGTCTTTAATGTACAGAATACTTGATATCTAATTTACTGCACGGTCTCTGCTTTCTTTCATTCTTTCTCCTTCAATGTTAGAAATAGACCAAATGCTACGCGCTGGAAATGGCACATTATGTGAGTGTTTTAAGATCATCAATTTATACGAAAATAAAAGTAAAACAAGTGCCACAGCATTCAAGTTTCATAACGAAGTTTCTCTCTAAAAATTATTTGTTTATTTATTTATTTATTTATTTATTTATACTTAAATAAATAAATAAACAGATACATGAATGAATGAATGAATGAACGAATGAACAAATGAACAAATGAACGAATGAATGAATGAATGAATGAATGAATGAATGAATGAATGAATGAATGAATGAATAAACAAATGAATGAATGAACGAACAAATAAATGAGTAATGGGCTGCAAATGGTTGTCAAAGGTAAAATATAATAAATGTTGATTCTTGTTTCTCTTCTTCTCCAGCGGTGTCACTAACGGGGGAGCAGTACGTGGAGCGTGGGGAACAAATCAAGCTGACGTGTAATGCCACAGGAGGCAAACAGATCGCCGATCAGATAGATTGGTTCAAGGTACACAATGATATTATATTATTATTATGCTAAATGTACACAGGTCGTTAAAAAAACTGTGCGACTCTCAATGTGCCCGATTTTGATGCTTTTTTTTCCCTCTCCTTTTTTTTCTTTTTTTTTCTTTTTTTTTTGGGGAGGGAGGGGGTGGGAGCTAGAAATGCGCAGGTCTGATGGTGTGCGGCTTTGATACGTTTTTTTATCCGAAAGTTCGCGGCGCTGATAACTTCCCTTCGGCGAGAAGGCATAGAGCCGCGCATTTCGAAAAAAAAAATAAGTACCATAGCCACGCACTATCAGAGCCGCACACTTTTTAACGATACCGATGCAATTTGGTTGCCGAATCCATCCAATGGTCGGGAAAACACCAGACCCGAGCACTTTCGCAGAAAAAAAAGAAGTATCAATCTCGCGCACTATCAGAGCCGCGCACTTTTTTAACCATATTAGATACTGTTTATTGTCAATGCCATTCAACAGAGTTATTCTCCTAGACAAAATTCACTCCATACTATTTTCATAAAATTTAGTTTCTCTAAAACTGTTTGCAGGTGAGTCACTTGACATTGCGGTTAACGTGTGTTCGTATTTTTCAAAAATTATTTGTATAAGAAACCGACAGTTTTAAGTCTTGCATAGCAAAGACTCAAGGATTTTTTTTCTTTCAAAGAGCTGTAACCGTACAGCGAGTGTACCGAAAATGTCTATTACTCAGGTAAATGGCCAGTTGTAACACGACCACACACCTAAAACCTAAATGTAGCAATATTTCAATTTGATATAATCTGGTGGTCATTAGTTCAGTGAAACGCAGAGGGGGAATTGAATCGTTTGATGATATTGGTATTGATATTCGGCAATCAAATTGTAGTGATATCGTTAAAACGTGCGCCGCCCTGATAGTGTGCGACTTTAAAACTATATTACTTTTTTTCGAAAGGGCATTGCTGTGATATTTTATCATCTGACCTTATTTTAAAGCAGTATGGCTATTTCCGTTGATATAGCACCAAATTAACTTCTTTTTTTTTTCAAAAGGGCCCAGCTAAGAAAATGGTGAGTTACGCGAACGTTAAAATTCTAGAAGAACACATTCAATTTCGCACCGTCGAGGTGTGAACGGGGCTCACCTGGACAATGTTATCATATGAAATAATAGAGGTTATGGCTCAGGGAAAAAAGGGCTTGCTTGCAGAGAAAACTATGAAAAACTTTGGCAGCAGTATAGCCTAATGGTAATTTATTAACTGAGTTGGGTCTTGTGGTGCAAATAATTGGAAGAAAGGTTAGAAATATTTTTCTTCTCTGCTTTTGTTCTAAACCACCCCCCCCCCCCCCCCCACCCACCTAATCCTATCCCTCAACTGCCATCCTACAAAGAAATCGCTGAGTTATGTCTAAGAAATGTCTTTAATGTCAGGAAAAAGTTCGTGAAACTTTTGTTTTAGTCTTTAAAGAGATGAGTGATATTTTCACTATTTGTACTTGATACCATGTTATATTTTCTCGTTATATAATTAAAGGAATAACGAGTGTCATCTCAACAAAGATGCAATGTTAATGTTAAAAAAGAGGAAACAGGAAAGGTCAAATTACATAATCGAAAACCTTTTATTCTAAAATGCGCATGCTCGCCATAATTATTATGTCTATCGATAAACAGGACGGTAACATCATAGCGGGTCCTCAATACAAAGACTACATCATCTTCACATACCGCTTGCACGAGCACGGAGCCCTGGTGAGCACGTTACAAGTGGACAGGGCCACGACAGAGCATGCTGGAACCTACGTCTGTAGGTCGTCCTACAACAAACTCAAGGACATTGCTGTCCAGGTGCTCGTAGGTGAGTAGCTACACCGTGTTCTTGTGCTGATTTTGTTGTTTTCCGTTTCTCGTTTTGAGGAGTTCTTTTGAGAGTTGTTTGTTTGAGTTTACATTTTTTCGCGAGAATGGTATCCTTTAACGGGAACAAGGGGGGCCGAGGGAGTTGGGGGATTATGTCGTGGTAGGGTCCGTAGGTTCTGAGTGTTCTTGTTTGTGTTTGGTTGTTTTGTTCGTTTTTTTTTTTCATTTGTTTCGGCTGTTTCTGATTTATTAGCTTTTTGTTTTCCTCTATTTTATTTTATTTCAAGGGCCATTTTGTTGTCCCCTTTTTGGCTTTTGACTTTCGCTTTTTAGCTCTAAGGGAATTGGCATCTTACGTTACTGTAGAAATTGTGGGTTGGTTTAGAAAATGTGGATAAGTTATCATTAACATGTTTCTCCGAAAAAAACTCTTCGTCCGAACAAATAAAGCATGAGAAATAGGAGAGAGGTAGGGGCAAGGCGAGACAAAGAAAGAGAGAAAGAGAGAGAGAGAGAGAGAGAGAGAGAGAGAGTGTGTGTGTGTGTGTGTGTGTGTGTGTGTGTGTGTGTGTGTGTGCGTGTGTATGTGATTGTATGTGTGAGTGAGAGAGAGAGACAGAGACACAGACAGACAGACAGACAAACAGACAGACAGACAGACAGACAAACAGACAGACAGACAGAGGAGGAGGACGAGAGAGAGAGAGAGAAAGAGAGGCAGAGACGGAGACAGAGGCAGAGAGAGAGAGAGAGAGAGAGACAGAGAGATGGCAGGAGAGATAAGAACAATTGAGAAATAGAGAAAGGTAAAGACATAAAGAATGTGATAGAGGATGTGCACATAGTAAACAAAAATCAGAGAAAAGAAAAAGAGCATTTCCATATAAAAAAACAAGCGACAACATTAAAAGTAAATAAGAAAAGAATCCAAAGTGGACTGATGATGTAAAAGTTAAAGGACAATTATCGTTTTGAATTTCAAAAGTAAAGCCACTGAATATTCGGATACAAATTTATTTTGAACATGAACTGGCTGTTGTTGTGTTTTATTGAACTCTTTATTGCCCGTCGCTGCACTCGTTGCCCTGTTGGTTAATGAACTTTATAAGTGTAAAAATGTCAGGTATTAAATTCAAATTGAATGATGTAATTATTTTCCGTCATAATCCCTCCAACATCCACATGTAGTTGTTCCTCTCCTCCATGCTTCTTAACAGAGATAGAAGTCCGGCCTATTTATCATTGTAAACTGTACCTGGCTGCAGTTTCATAATCTAACGTTCTTTTCTTTCTTTCTTATCCACAGCTGAAAGAGACAACGTTAAACGGGGTAAGCTGATCATATTCACATTATGTCCGCTTCAAATAGACTCTTGGAAAGCGTTCCTTCCTTTTCTGTTACTTTCAAAGCTAGGCTTATAACTTTATGAACTTAAAGCAACATGATTCGTTTCAAAAGTCCTTGTGTTAATGTAATTGTATTTTTGACAACGATGTGACAGATTTTAATTGCGGTGAGGGGAATTGGAATTGTCTTGATTTAGAAAGATTGTAAAACGTGTGTGTTTACATTTCACATGGGATTTTTGAATGACTAAGGGAACCCATCCTAATACTAAAAAAAACTTGCCCTTCATATTGTGGCCCTAGTAATTTCACTTAAACATTGTAGCATACGTCAAAAGAAAAATGCTTCACAGAAATTTTGTTTTGATCTTTAGTGCGTCAAGAACTCAGAAATGAAACCCTATCGAACTCCATGAAAACGTATGACTGTTTAAGTAACCGTTTCATTTCACCTGGGTAAAAATGCGTTTATTGTTTTCCGCTCAGTTCTCGTCAGTGACTAGCCCTGAATGATAAACACGCCCGCCACTTGAAACAACTCGTTTAATACAGCTTGAACTTTCCAACTCTGTATAGTATACGATAGAAATTTCGGTCAGTATAATAGTCTATAGTGGCAGTCATAAGAAAACCACTCACAGTGGGAGCCACCAATGTGACCCCTTTTCTGGGACTGTGGTTGTTTTTTTGTTTTTTTAGCGTTCTTTAAAGTAAGCCACCCAGTCAAATCCCATGTTGGCTTTAATTCGTAAATCTTACCCGTAAACGATTCATTTATGGGCTGTCCTTATTATTGTTCAGCCAAAGACTGTTGATCGAAACGTTCCCTGAATGCGTGCAGTTATAACGAGATAATAGGTTGGGTTTTTGTTTGTTTGTTTGTTGTTTTTTGGGGTGGTGGTGTTAACTTGAACACATAATGTAAGTAACGCTGTCTTTTTGTGCATCCAACCTTATTGTTTTAGGGAATATTGAATTGGAAACAAGAGCGAATAGATTCTTTTCTCTGCTCGTTCCAGGAACGGTGTCATCAAACAACTCTTCGCCATGCCCAGTTCAGAGGTCAACTATTTGCATCCTCTTCTGTCTGGTGGTCACTCAGTTAACACTGCATGACTGACCAACAGACCACTTCAGCCCCATCGTCCTCCGACAGACTCATCATTCATCAGGTCATCACAAAAACATTGACCATCGCATTGACCTTACTCTCAAACCACGAAGCACCTTGTTAATGTTGTACAATATTATTATATACGTTTACTCCCAGTTTTCAGTTTATCTGTTTTTTTGCCTTTCTTGATTCTAATGACTTTTTTGTGTATAATGAACACAGATCGTGCAGCAGTTTCAAGCACTGTGCCCTCATTCCCTTTTAAAGCATAATTATTGGTATGATAACATGTTGTAACAATTACCTTATCCTTATTGTATTTCTGTCGTGTCAAAGATTCTACTCCGAGCCTAGTAATGCTCGCAAGATATGAACCAGCATAGACGAGTTACCTTTGTCATATTGAAAAAAGTTTAGGATATTATTGTCCACTGTACCTCTGATTTACATGTGTGTGAATGGTTAATCTTTCTCGCACAGTACATTATGTTAAGTCTGCTGTAGGTGTCCGCTAGTTTGGGTGTTCATTTTGTTTTTGTGATGTTGTGTTTCTGTGTTTACCTTGGCTGTGTATTCAGTAATACTATTTTTAAAAGGTTTCAAGGTCGACATTAAAACCCTAGCTGAGATGTATCCTACCTGATCCAATAATTATTTAGTTAGTTTTTATATATCTGAAAGATGGGTCATTTACTTTTGAGAGGTGGGGGTTTTCTTCAGTCATATTTCCTTATTATAACCCATAATTTATAACGCTTCAAGGACGTAGTAGACGCATGTGGAAAGTGGGACGAGTTGACTCCTATTTGTTGCTACTTCAACTAATTGCTATAAAATGGAACGTAAGATTGAACCCCGCGTTAAGTTCAAAATATATTTACTAGGACTTTCCTATTGATAAAATAAATGGGAGAATTGATCTCTTTAGTGTAACAGCTAAGCGCATCGCATTTGCACATAGCAGACCCGAGATTGACTCCCGTGTAGGGACGATATTTGATCGTGAACCTCGGTATTTCTGGTGGAAAGTTAAACCCCTCTCAGCCCGGGTTGGCCCCTAAACTGCGTTGATGCGGGCATTAAAAGAGTGACAGAATAAAATTGACTCACATGCAAACATGTACATGGATAGTGATTATTACATAATTGTCAAAAGAAAGGTTATTAGTGCAGAATGTCCAAATTGAACTTGAATTCGTAACTTTGTTCTTCTTTATCAATTTGGACATTCTGTCACTTGCTATCAGCAGTCAAAACAACAACAAACAAGAAACATGATGGGTTCCTCGTCTAAATGTGCACGGCTTCCTTTGTTCTGTATGTTTCAGATTTTGTGTAAAAACAGATCTGATATAAAGCGTCAAACACCAGAACCCCCACCTCAAACAAAAATGCACGCCTTATTTCTGGCTGAGGACATCCGACTAAAAGGCAAGTTAGAGTAAGCTATTGCAGCTGGCAGTCATTTCAAAGATGAAACATACAGAGGTTGTTTTCTTTGACCCAAGAACAATTTTGACGACGAGAAATCTGTAATGCTTACAGGGTCGTTGAATCATTTTTCAGGATCTCAAAATGCAATAGCTCATATTTAGTTTTCACAAGCACTGTTAGAAGCGTCCAACCCTCATGCAACTTTTCCAAGTCAAATATGGGGCAATAACCTTTATGAAGATCTGTGTGCAATAATTAATAACGAGACTTTAACATTGAGAAGCGTCGTGGTTTATTCAGTCTGGCATTCAAGCTTGGCAAAGAGGTATACATTGTGCCCTCTCAAGAACGCTTCTCAAAGTCAGCACTTCGTACTACGAGCAGAAATGTTTGTATTTGACAATGTAAAAAAGGTGCAGGGTATGGGTGCTGTTGGGTGGAAGAACCGAAAAAAAAATGTTCTCCTTAATAAAAACGACAGGTTCACTCTGTACATGTTTGCTTTCTACGTAATGGCGACGAAACTTGAAGTCCCCCGACCATGCCATCAAACGTATGGCATTGTTTCAGTTGTTTCATTTGTTGTATTCGTTGTAGTTCGCGGTAGTGTCATTTATTGTTGTTATTGTTCGTTGTATATAAATATGACGTCACACTTTTTATGTACTGATCCTCTTCTCGTCACTAAGCAGCCAAGTTGTTGAAAATATGGAATGATTTTAAGTATAGTCTAACCTCACATCGACTTGCAGCACTGTCGCAGGTCTTTTTTAAAACTCTGTAAGTGTTTACTATTAATATTATAATTACTATTATTGGTACATGATTATGCATCTGTGAGATTAAATGAAAGAATCTGTTTTGGGTACGTGTGCATACGTTTTCGTGGTTTGTGCCAGCTTGTGCTTGTGTGAAAGTACATTAATTTCAAACGGAGGTATGGAACCTATCTGTTATATTTCTACTTCAATTTGCTTTAACAAAAGTTTGAAAAAATGACACACAGAATGAAAGACTACGTCTTAGAAAAAAGTGAGACATTTTATCTCTTTTGATAGAATGATTACGTGTGTTTTCCTGAAAGTTAGCGTGAACAAGTCAGACTGTGTATTTATGTGTATATGATTATGTATGTTTACCTAGGTATGTATTGGATAAGTGCATTTGTATATACGGGTGTGTTTCTGTATATGTGTGTGAGTGTGTGTAGGTGTGTATGTGTGTGATTGTGTGTGTGTGTGTGTGTGTGTGAATGTGTGTGTGTGTTGTTGTTTTTCTCTTTATGTGTTTGCGCCTGGTATATCGGTCTATACGGGAGATGTGCATGTAATGAACATTATGTATGTATTCATATTATGATTAGGGTTTAAGATTATTGCCTTTTTGTGTTTTTGGCTTGCACCTGCTATTTACCTTGGTTTTACTCAATTCTGAAATTTGGAAAAGTCTCAAATAAAATCATATTGCGCCGAACAGGGCCATTTCTTGCTGCATGGACATCTTTAAGTTAAAATCAGATAATACTTTACGTTTAGACTCTATTTTTGTTTGTGGCTTAGAGTCATTTTATGGTCAATAGAAATATTTGCTTCCTACTAACACTGCAATACGTTTTTCACTTATATATAGTATGACTTGTAGCAGTAAATACAATAACTGCAATATTTATAATTTTGCACACTCTTAGTTTAACAACTAATGGTTTGTTCATGTCGTTTATTTCATTGTCAAAGGTGTTTCTGAAAAGTAAGATACAACAAAGACTTGGTACGACCAAAACGTATCATTATAATCCAAAATAACAGAGTGGGGAAATGACTCTACTGTACCAGTCTCGCTCTATACTGCTACCACGGAGACGAAAGGAATAATATTGTTCTCGAAGGGCACGAGTTCAGAAACTCTGGTATGAATAGGCTGTCAAGGGAACATCTCCACTCTCGCTGACCCCGGAACGATAGTGTCATCAGTTTGGAACCGTTTCCCGGATGTATACAGATATGTCGTTGACGAGACTATAGTAAATATTAAGATGAAAGATTTTCAACAGAGCTATTGAATTAAAGTGTTAAAACGTTATATCGAGTATACTGGCTAAAGTCTTTGGTCTGTTCTGGCTTCGAATGTGGCTTGGAAATCTATGATTCTGTTGCTTAGGTGTCTCAGATCTTTCCAGCAAACAGTTCCCTCTCATAAAATGCCAGTTTAGCACCTATTTATCACGTTTGCACTCCCTGTTCTAATGAAGGGGGTATTTTAATCCTTTCAATGTTTTCTCCAGCTTCTTCATGACTCTGGTTGATTCATAAAAGGCCCGTCTTGAAGAATCATTGTACTCGGCTCTTCAAGGAACCTCAGTACTCTTGTGTCCGCTGATTGCTAATTAAAATACAACAAAAAAGTCATTGTTCCGTTTAAGTGGGAGGGGGGGGGGTTCGTCGGTGGTGTACAGAGCTCGCATTGTGATTTGACCTCCATGCCGCTCTCTGCTCTTTAAACGCAGCCGTCCTTGTGAGCTATTCACATAATGCATTCGCTCAGTATTGAGACAGATGCCACAGAAACAAGATGTACTGCATGTGCCCTTCTAATTTTCGCCGACAGATTTGACAATAGTTTGCACTTTCATCGTTGTTTGCCCTTTTGTACCTTACTTTTCGGATACCCCCTGAACGTGCGCGTAATTTCGGTAATTGCGACATCCCGACCCAAGGTCCAGGATTCCAAATAGTAATTTTGCTTGTCACTCGTTATTGCCTGTTTAGGAACTGGGTGTATTTGTTTTTTTCTTGTCACGCAATGTGGAGTTGTCTCTTATCCAGTTGTAAAAACGACTTTTTATAATTTTTTACCCTAACAATGTTAAAATTATATCTTGCTGTCAACAAGAATCCGTATTTAACTATACCGTCTTATAAGTACTGCAATTAAATGATTATGATCTTTTCAGGAAAAAAATGGGGTTATGCATTAAACACGAATAGCGTTTTTGTTTTGTTTTGTTTCTTTTTTGTGGTGTATTTTTAAGTCGGAGCTCGATGACAAAAAGAGTAAAACTTTTGAGATACTGTTTGCTGTCCAGTCACAGCTCTGCCAGAAAAGTTTAAACGAAAATTAAACTCGTCATCTCCTGCTTGTAAAACCTATATAGTTCTAGCTGCAGTATTTGTAGCTATTTTTGTTGTTTTTTTATTTGTCGCTTGATTTTCCAAAACTTTTTTTTTAAGGCGTACTACCTCGACTTTTTAAAAACACATCAATGTTTTATTGGTTCCTGATATTACGTGACTAGCGATGTTCTTTTTTTACAGCATTGCTAAACGATGCGTTTATGAAATGTGCATAAGCGATACTTGTTTCTCGATGTGTATTCCCATTTGTAAATAGTATAATTTGTATTACACTTGTTTTCTTTGAATTTTTATCTTCACTTGACGCATGGGTTAGGTGTTTTCGCAAATTGTTTCTGACTTTTGAATGTCACTTGCTTGAGCAAGTTTTTAAGTAAGGCCCAAGTGTACATGTTAGTTGTCAAGACAAAAAATATGATAACTGATCTATTTGTTTTTGTCTACAAACTTTATTTATTCTTATAAGCATTCAAAAATGGCCCTACCAAACATGAAACAGCTTTTTATTTAATGTGTGTTTGAAGTAAATATCTAAAACCTTTCTAATTTTCAAAAAATTACAGTTTCGTATG